AATATTTATAACATGAATCCTCCCAGATTTACACACAAGATATGTAATAATTTTAAAATGGTTAATTCTTTCAACCTTTAGTTTGTTTTTTATTTTGCCCTCCCCTACACACATACACACACATACTTTATATATATATATATATATATATATATATAGTATTTATTTTTTCTAAGCCTTGATCACTTAATTAAGGTGGTATTTTTCCAGGCTTCTCCACTATAAAGTACTATTTTTCTCTGCAATTAGTGAGCAATTTGTGAGGAGATGCTTTCTGACTGCCCAAGTAGCCCATCTCTCATTACATTTTCATCCATTGGTAATTTCCTAGTTCCATTGTGCCAAGTGATAAAAGTAGAAGCGATGGAGATAGCAAATCAGAACTGTTATAGAAAATAATCTGCAACTCTCCCTTTACTGGCCTACAATATATCTCATAGATGATATAACCTACCTACACGTAATTTCAACTATAACATAAGGAGAAAGAAAAGAAGAGTGAGTTATATTGTAGTAAAAGTGATATGTATTTCAGGAGGGAGTCAGGTGCGAGAAATCCTGCTGATAGGGCGGCTTACTGATGGTTCAGACTCAGTCAGAGGGGCAGATAGCAGTCACATAATTTTTGGGAAAATGATGAACAACTCTTGGTAACGTATAGAACACAGTAATCCCTCAATTTACTTCAAATACATTAAAATAGTGCATAAATAATTTGATTTTAAGAGTCTCATGCTCTACCGACTGAGCTAGCCGGGCACTTGCTAAACCATTTGATTTTAAATCTAAAACATGTACATAGGATTTGGACCATTATACATAGGTTTTTTTTACCTACATGGATGCTGGGTAAGGTGCTCAGCGAGTCCTATGGGATGTAGAATAGGACTTTGCACCGTGGCACCAGCCCGCTCATTCCAGGACATCGGCCATCTCTGGCCCACACCCCCGATGTCTTTATTATTCCATAACCACATAACCACATAACCCCCACACATGTCCCAAATGTCCCCTGGATGTACTAACGTTGTTTGGAAATCACTGTTTTAAGATTCCTGCCCCTCAACTAGAAAAAAAAAAAAAGATAGAAATATATACATATTGACTTTTGGTGTTCCTTAGTAGTTGTCTCTCACCTGTATGCTAGACTCCGTTGCATCTTGTATGCTTTGGACACAAGAGACTTTTCTACTTGCACAGATGCATCATGTGTTAGCTGAGCTTTGGGAGGTGAAATAGCATGATTCCCCCACATTTAGTACTTAATGGGGATGGATACAAAGATTAATGTCTCCTTCAGAGAGACCAGAGAGACATGGGACATTTCCTAGAACTTAAACCAAGGCTTCAAACACACTTCTCCCCCTCCCATTTTGTAGGGGTCTTTATCTTCGCTATCAAAGGTTTTGCCCCTGAATGTAGATGAAAATCTGGAACAGAAATGTGACCCAATAACAAGATGGCCTAAGTTTTGAGAGGCCACCTTGCCACATTAAAGAAGAATGATAATCCAGGACTGGAGTGACCAGCAATGCAATTGTGGAGAACCAGCCTGTACTAGTCTAAGTAAGGATGCTTTGAAAAAGGTGGGCCAGGTCCACCTGATTCATCGATCTGCTCTAACCCATAAAAATAATAACGTGAACTACTCAAAGGGATTTTAAGGAAGGAGGAATCTATTTGATTCGAGGGGTTTTTGTTGACTGTTTGGACAGACGTGGCAACAAAGACATGCCACATCTCCTGTCATCACCCTAGTGTTGCTTAAGGCAGTTCTCCTCTGACAGGCCTGCTGTCAGTTTGCCTTCTTTACCCGCTTTCACGCTCCAACTTTTGAGGCACAATGAGTCTGACTTCTGAGCTGACCAAAGGATTTCATCACATTCATGCTTTTCGGAAATCACATTTACACATTTTCATGGGTCAGCTGCGGAGAGCAACTAACCGGAGATGCCTCCCGGGTGAAGGCCGAAGGTGGGGGCACGTTAATTTTGTGGCCTTTCCCTTGATTTTTGAGGTTGTCTTGGGCATCCTCCCCTTATCGATCGAGAAGTTTCTTCCTCAGAAGCCTTCTGGGTGCTTTGACCTGGATCAGTTAGCTCTGTGGCGTGCGGCCCCATGACAGACTGGCCCAGCGGGACAAACATGAGTGGGTTATTTGAGCTGAATTTGCTGGGAAATTCACTCCCAACGTAAGAGTCAGAGCTCACAGAAAACTAGAGCACGCAGCTCCCACTGTCCTTTGTGGTACCATCCATTCATCCAAAATATATTTTATTGATTATTTTACAGAGAGGAAAGGAGAGAGAGGGACAGAGAGCTAGAAAAATCGATGAGAGAGAAACATCGATCAGCTGCCTCCTGCACAACCCCTACTGGGGATGTGCCTGCAACCAAGGTACATGCCCTTGACTGGAATCGAATCTGGGACCTTTCAGTCCGCAGGCTGACGCTCTATCCACTGAGCCAAACTGGTTTCGGCCATTCATCCAAATGTTGATAGAAGTCCCTTTTTGCTTCCGGTGCCGAGCCAGACAGACAGTGTTCCCACGCCTCTGAGGGCAAGGCGACTCAGCAAGTTTAGGATGAGGAGTTGGGTGACCTGGGCCTCCCTTCTTGTGCCACCTCTTAGCAGTGGGCATGTTCCAACTTCACACTCCTTATAAAAATAACTCGTGTTTTGTCTACAGTACAGTGTGATTGTGAGGGTCAAGGGAAACAAGAAAATTCCTATGATGCTTTAAACCCTTTTTTTTCTTTTTACACTGAGACACTGGGCAGCATTTTTTGAGACCACATATCTGGGAATTAAGTTTTGGGACCTGCCAGGACCCTGTGTCAGCAGGCCGAAGTTCTATCCACTGAGCCAAACCGGTTTCGGCTATTTACTCTATTTTTGTCCGAGAAGCTGAGTAACTTGCCCAAGATTTCACTAGTGCTAGAAGGACTTTCCAGAATTCAAATCCAGGTACACCTGGCACCAAAACCCCTGCTCCTCCCCTGGCACCGGCTGCCTCAGTCGTAGGACAAACATATTTTGACTCCAGGCAGTCAACTCGTGATTTCTGTACTTGTATGTATAGAGATAAAAACAACCAAAAACGAACACACCAAGAATCCAACCTTTGTATCTTACTCCAAGTAGAACTTCTGTATTTGAGGAAGGAAAGGCCAGGCTGAGTTGCCCGCATCAGAGAGATTCAAGCTGAGGGTTCTTCAGACACCGCATCGATGCTGGCGTTGAACCTGGGAGAGTTAGGAGAATGCCCGTGGGCGGGCTGCCACGAGGTGTCACAGGCAGCGTCAGTATCCACCGGGGAGCCCGGAGCCATGCAGGTGCGTGGGCCGGTGGCCGAATCCACAAACTTGTGTGAATCTGGCTGCCGGGAAGCATTTCACATCATCCGTGACGGCCAGAGCCAAATTCGTTACATTTCAGTGAAAACGACGGGCAGGAGATGCAGAGAATTCATGAAGGAATGTCTGGTGAGGAGACTCAAGTGTAAACCTCCACGTGCTTTGTGTCTAGGGATTAGTGAGAAGAATTAAGAATCCGGGCATTATTTATTTATTTAAAAAAAATCTATTTGTGATAGTTTCAGAGAAGAAGGGAGAGGGAGAAAGAGATAGAAACACCAATAATGAGAAATAATCATTAATCAGCTGCCTCCTGCTTGCCCCCTACTGGGGATCAAGCCCACAACCCGGGCGTGTGCCCTGACCAGGAATTGAACCATGGCCTTCTGGCTCATAGGTTGACGCTCAACCACTGAGCCACACTGTCTGGGTAGGATCTGGGTATTTTAGATCTGTTTAGTCTGTGGCTGGTTTGTGGCCTTATGTTTAGAGTAACATTTCGTAACTGGCCTCTGGGAGACAGAAAAACGGTACAGCCATTTCGTGTGACTAGTTATAAAACTTAGCTGGTGCTTTTTTTAAAAAAATAGGTCCAACCAAATTAGCTCTGGGCACCTGCTGGAGCTTAGCATGTTTTCAGATAGACTTGTTTGCTATCAGCCAACAAACAAACAAACAAAAAAACCCTAATGCAACAAAGCCCTTCACCCACATAATTTGGTATAAAACCTGATACTCCTGATGCTTTTCCAAGCCATATCTCTCAGATCAAATCATTCGAACAAGGAAAAAAGACATTGGATGCCTTGAAAGAGGAGGGCAAATTAATATTGTTAGATTCATCTCAGAAAAGGTGCGGGGAGAAGAAAGGTGGGGATGGTGGATAATGTGGGATGGTAAGCACATTGTGAAAGCATTTCCGATTCCTTATGCAAATGTGTTTCAACACTGATGTTATCACATGGCTGGAATTCTGGGATTTTTAGTTTCGCCGGAAGGACCCCTGAAACATATGTGGACCGCTGTCTCAAGGGATTTGGACTTTTGTTCCTTTATTTGACAGAAGAGCTATAGATGATGTCTCAGTGAACATCGGCAACAATTACAGCAGCAAAAAGACAGAAATCATTTTATGGAGATCTAGTATTTTAGGCAATAGTGAAAACTGGCAATGGCTCACAGGGGATGATAAATCCTGGACCAACATCGGCAAAGAAACACCCATTTCTGCAGTGCTCTGCAGGCGACTTCGGTTCCCAGGCCTCACCTGAATTCTCCCCTCACCGTTTCTCTGGCTGTTTTAATAGGCACATGCTTTATATAGTGAAAAGGCTAGAAAAATCCTATCATATCACCAGGTACATATCACTGAATAAAATATAACTGACTTACTAGTGATCACCCTGACTTTTTTTTTTTTTTAAGTTAATGGTCTTTTTATTGGAAAAAAAAATAAAATAAAAAGACTAGCATTTACACAACTTGGAATGGACGTTAAATTGTGATTTCTTGAACAGCAATGTTGATGGTTGTGCTGAAGTCCACAGCCACAGCCTACCTCTGCTGGCTCCAAGTCACGGTTCAGGAGGTTTTTAAAAACAGAGAGTCCAAAGATGCTCCCTTGGTAAGAGTTTCTTTTTTTAAAAATTTTGTGTGAGTGGTGACAGCCTGACACCCCATTTTTTCGCTCTAGCACGAGGCAGGCAACGCTAAACCAACGTGCGTGGGCACGCCACCGGATGCCTCACCATCACCGCGGGTCAGGGCACATGGAAGTACAAGAGGGACTATCATCCTGCTACGTGGGGCTGCGTCTAGACAGTTTATCCTTCACCCATGTAGAAACATGACATCCTGAGGTAAACCAATTTGAAATGCGTTTGCTTTTCAGCAAACCAACGGTGACAATTTCTACTAAACAAACTGAACTAGAACCCATTTGAATAGGCTTTGAATTTTGTGTTTTTTTTTCGGTTTTCGTTTTTTAATACAAAGGCCTGACTGTGCTCAATTGTCAAGCTGCATGCATGAAAAACTGGCCAGCCCACAGTGTTATTAATCATTAGCAAATGGAACTGCAAGGAGTCCGCTAAGTGCTTCCATATCGTTAAGGTAGTACGAGGATGTATACTGTAAAACGGATGTGTAGCTTGATCTTTAAGGGGACAGGACCACCAACCAATACATGCAGATTGTGTGTGTGTGTGTGGACAGAAGGTACTTTTTGACATTCAGTTTTGCTATATAGAAACAGAATGAGTAAATGATTTTTTTTTTTCTTTTTGCAAGAGGTAAGTAAAAGATTCAATTTGATTCTTCTAGAGGAGGGGAACAAGTTGAAAGTAGGTCTTCATTTTGCAGTCATCATCTGTACGAATTCTTCATAGTTGACTTGTCCGTCTCCATCGATATCTGCTTCTCTGATCATTTCATCTACTTCTTCGTCTGTTAGTTTTTCTCCTAAGTTTGTCATGACGTGACGTAGCTCTGCCGCACTGATGTACCCGTTGCCATCCTTGTCAAAGACTCGGAATGCCTCGCGGATTTCTTCTTCGCTGTCTGTGTCTTTCATTTTTCTGGCCATCATGGTCAAAAACTCTGGGAAGTCAATGGTGCCATTGCCATCAGCATCCACTTCATTGATCATATCCTGCAATTCAGCTTCTGTTGGGTTCTGACCCAGCGACCTCATGACGGTGCCAAGTTCCTTTGTGGTGATGGTCTCATTGCCATCTTTGTCAAATAGGGAGAAAGCTTCCTTGAATTCAGCAATCTGTTCTTCAGTCAGTTGGTCAGCCATGGTGCACACGGAGGGAGGACGCGCAGGAGGACCGAGGGAGCCTGCACCAGCGCGGGGCTGAGACAACGGGGAGCCTCCGCTGCTGCTGCCGCTGCGGCCGAGGCGCGGGGTGCGCTGCGCGCTGTGCTGAGCCGCTGCCGCCGCCCGACTGCGAGTACCGGCGCCGCGCGCTAGACTCCCAGCGCCAAAGCCCCACCCTGACTTTTTGAATAATTTTGAATAATTTCTTTCCTAACCACTGCAGGTTTTTGCAATTAAATTGGTATCTTAGAAGTCCTGCTTGTAATAACAACAATAAGAAAAACGATGACTCCTCTACTGCCACCACTGATTAAACATATGGTAATGCCTGGCCAGTTGAGTGTTGACCTATGAACCAGGAGGTCATGGTTCAATTCCTGGTTAGGACCCATGCCCAGGTTTCAAGCTTGGTCCCCAGTAGGGGGCATGCAGGAGGCAGCTGATTGATGATTCTCTCTCATCATTGATGTTTCTATCTCTCCCTCTCTTTTCCTCTCTCTGAAGTAAATATTTAAAAAACGAAACACCTGGTACTGCAATAGATACTTTATATGCATTTTTATATTCCTGATATTTTATACTAGAGGCCTGGTGCACAAAATTTGTGCATGGGGAGGGGGTTGTTTCCCTCAGCCCAGCCTGCACCCTCTCCAATTCTGGACCTCTTGGGGGATGTCTGGCAGTCAGACATCTGTCTTATAATCCTGGACTGCTGGCTCCTAATCACTCACCTGCCTGCCTGCCTGGTTGCCCCTAACTGGGCCCCCGCTGGCCCCTCACTACCTCTGTGTGCTGGCCTGGTCACCCCTTACTGCCCCACCCTGCCAGCCTTGTTGCCCCATGCACCCTGCTGTTCAGTCGTTTGGTTGTCCCTCACTAACCCCCCTGCCAGCCTGGTCATAGGCAGCCATCTTGTGAGGGTGTGAGAGTCAATTTGCATGTTACCTCTTTATTATAAAGGATTCCTGATACTTTATATGCATTTTTATATCCCTGTAAGATAGTGATTGTTAGCCCAATTTTATAAACAGGGAAACGGAGCATTTTAGAGTCCACACGGTTAAAATAACAGGAATATCAGGATTTGAATCTAAGTTAGCCTGGGGTAGCACAATGTGACAGGAGGCGTTTTCTTTGGGAGTGCCCGGCAAAATGGCAAGCTTGCTTTGCTCCCTGTCAGAGGTTCTGAAACATGAGGCAAATACGATGTAGGAGCAAACTCTCATTCATTCTAAATGAGGAGATGCAGGTCAGAACTTGCAGAATTCCCTAGACACCCTTCTGACAGGTGTGGTTTAAATGCACCCAGTGCAGCAGAGGAACTAAAGCTGCCTCCCTTGTTTGCTGAAGGACTGGTCACACAGAACCATTAGAATGTGTGAGTTCTCTATTGAGTTATCCACTTGTGCCCGGAAATCTTAAAATAAACTCTCCTTTGTGAACGTGAAGGCTTACCAATTCTTTCACAAAACCGTAAACCCTATAATTTTTACTAAGTACCCGAGAATGTCACGAATGCTAATATCAGAGTATTTGGGTCTATCCCAAAGATTCTAAAATATCATTGCAAAATCAGATTCAGTATTTCCCGCAAGTATTTCCTGCAAGTAATCGAAATGAACTTTGATTTACCAAATAAAGAGAAGTCTTGTAGCAGGTGCTAATCTTTGATTCGTCTTATTAATAGCAATTTAGTAGAGCATTTGGCATTCTCTGTACCATTATTTATCAGGTGGGTTGGAATATGGCATTGCCATTTATGTTTTTGATTATTTATCTCATAGTATTTAGAGATTCACTTAGCAACCTGAAAAACATGTATTGGTCTTGGATCATTTACCTTCTTTACCCGAGAGAACTGAAGCTTTATGTAAATCCTGGTCTCTATACCTGTGGCCAAATTAGAACATGAAAAATGTGCTCAGCCCCTTACTTATACAGCTGAGTATTGGGAAGCATCTCCCACTACACAGTTAGCCTCAACTAATTGGACCGGAGTTGAAAAAAATCCCATTATTATTTGTCTGAGGTTATGTAGACTTGGCTAGAAAGATCCTACTTCATCCTTATATGGTATTCACAATTAAAAAAAATATTTTATTGTGTTTTTACAGAGAGGAAGAGAGAGGGATAGAAAGCTAGAAACATCGATCAGCTCCCTCTTGCACCCCCCGGCCTCCCACTGGGGATGTGCCCGCAACCAAGGCACATGCCCTTGACCGGAATTGAACCCGGGACCCTTCAGTCCCCAGGCCAACGCTCTATCCACTGAGCCAAACTGGTTTAGGTGGTATTCAAAATTTTAAAATATATTATAGCCAAGACCGGTTTGGCTCAATGGATAGAGTGTTGGCTTGGGGACTGAAGGGTCCCGGGTTCGATTCTGGTCAAGGGCATGTACCTTGGTTGCGGGCATATCCCCAGTAGGGGGTGTGCAAGAGGTAGCTGGTTGATGACTCTCTCTCATCGATGTTTCTAACTTTCTATCCCTTCTTCTCTGTACAAAATCAATAAAATATATTTAAAAAAATAAAAAATAAAATAAAATATGTTATAAGTAAGTAACTGAATAGTAATGGTAAATGTAATTATGTAATTATGTAAATGTAATTATGACATGTGTCCTAGCTGAAGTTTTCTTTGTTGTTCCAAAGCAGATAAAAATATTTTCTCTTACTTCCCAAAGTACTTAGGTCACATTTTTTCTTATGCAAGATCACCTGCTAGAATCTACCATATCTTTGTGCATATCACAAGAGGTACCCCAATTAATTAATGAGCTGGATAATTACCAAAAAAGTTCCCCTTTCTCTGGGTCAGCTCTGTGTAGACTGGTTTTTAAACCCACTGTCTCTCCTTTTTGTGCAATGACTTCTGCTGTTATGATTCATAATCTGACTTGTATGATAGGTGTTTGTACTTCATCGTTCATTCAATCAGCAAGTGTTCAATAAGCACCTATTATAAACCAGGCACTGGTTAAGCTCTGGAGGATATGACAATGGCTAAGGCACAGATTGCCCTCAGGGAACTCCTAACTTAGTTGGTAAGAAGGATGCTTGTCTGTCAGTGTTACAGTAGCAAACAGATAGTCCATCCACAGGATGAATGGAAGGGAATATACTAAAGAGACTATTACAGGTCAGAGTACAGGGAACTCACCAGGGATAGTGCAGGATCTAGGGGCTAGCTTTGCAGGGCTTCTGAAGGGTTGATGGGAACAGTTACTGGAACCTACAGAGACAGTGGGGGGGGAGGGGAGAGAGAGAGAGAGAGAGAGAGAGAGAGAGAGAGAGAGAGAGAGAGAGAGAGAGAGAGAGAGAGAAATGGGAGGACTGGGGCACTTTACAGAGAGGGAGATGGGTGGAGGAAATAAATACCCCATCCTCCTTCTACTTCTGTCCTTGGATCTTCTCCTGATGTCCCTCAACCAGAGATCAGGAGGCAAGGATATTTACTGATCTAGTCATTAGAGGTCAACTTCTGGGAGAGGAGAATGGGGTGGAGGAGAGTGGAGAGTAGGTGTGGAGGGCAAAAGAAGATATCTAACTCACTCTGTTCTTCTTGCCTCTCTATATCAACTCTTGTCCTTCACTCAGTAAATGTTTGTGTCCCAACACAGGTAACACGGTCCCATCAGCTCCTTCAGTTAATCATTGGCACCGAAGCCATCAGTCCAGTCATATTCTCATAAAACTAGCAATCACCCTTGTTCTTCATATATACAAGGATATAGGGGAAGAAGAGGAAAATAAATAATTAATATAAAATGTAGCTGCTACATTTTCTACCGCCATAGCTTGTCACAAGACTGAATTGACTTTTGTCCAGCAACCATTCCATGCTTTCCCTGCTAACATCTCACCTGAACATGGTGCTTTACCTAGTGAGGTAACCCAAACCTTCATTCCTGTGGGCCTGCATCCTTGGATTTTTGTCTTAATTGAGTAGCTGCAGTTTTCCATTGACCTGGACTATTTGGGCAAGACAGTACTAAGAGATGCTCTACGGGATCTCTGTGTTTCAAACACAGTTCTTCGTGCCTCTGTTATGTAACTACAATCCAATTTCCTCCTGGTAATTGGGATCAATCACCCTGGCCATTAGAGTGACCCTCTTCCTCTGTCTGTTGACTCAGAGGCGCCAGAATTTTAAAAAGGCCAGAGGAGAGCGTCAGAATTCATTAGAAGAGTGATTGTGTTTCCTGCCAGAAGTGTGCTTTCCTCAAACACTGGGACATCTAAACTCATGGAGCTCAATGTCACGTTGATAGGATACAAAATTTCTTTGTGGTGTGGGGACAAGATGAAAAACTCACTAGATATAATCGTGAGGGAATACTTCTATCTCCTCCTCCCTCTGGCTTCTAGAGAGACAGGACTATCTAGTAGAAGCTGGTTTAAGGCTTATATTACTACATCCTGTAGGATAGCACCCCAACCTCACAGTGTGTGGCTCCAGCTGATGCAATAGCTGATTTTTGAACAGGCCATCCTGGCATTTTATCAAGACAGTTTTTTTTTTTTAAATTATTAAAAAATGTCCTCTCTTTTCCCCCACATTGACTCACTTCACCCTGCCCCCACCCCTCTCAGGCCTTCACCACAATATTGTCTGTGCCCATGGGCTATGCATATATGCATATAAGTTCCCCAATTAACCTCTCCCCACCCACTTCCCCACCCCTGCTTTCCCTCTGAGATTTGTCACTCTGTTTTGTGCTTCTATGTCTCTGGATCTATTTTGTTCCTCAGTTTATTTTGTTCATTAGATTTCACATATGAGTGAGATGATGTGATACGTATCTTTCTCTTACAAGCCAAGATGACGGTAAAACTAATGAATGAAATATATGTGAACTCATTGCTATTTTTCCTTTGCCTAAAGAAAGAATTTAAAAATTAATTTTTTTTTCTCCAAATGAGCGTTTGTGTGGGACACTGATGACAAGGATGAAAGCATTTTGTAGGGCCATGTATGGAGATGCTGGAAAAAGCACTTCAGACTGAGAAAGCAAATCTGCACCCAGAATATGAGTCTGGCATGAGGACAAATTTACACCCCCTTCACTCATGGAAGAAGTCCAGTCTAACTTACCTACTTCCTGGGGACTGGCTAGAACTTCGGGAAATCACATTATATCAGGGCTT